CAGCCGGGGAGAACGGCCCTGCCTGGAGCCTCTGGCAGAAAGCACCAGGGGAGACTCGAGGTCGACCCCTAGGGTTTTGGAGTCGGGGATACAGAGGATCCGAGGCCCGCTATGCTCCAAGTGAAAAAGAGAGATTGGCAGCATATGAAGGGGTTCGAGCTGCTTCGGAAGTGATCAGCACTGAAGCACAGCTCCTCCTGGCACCCTGACTGCCGGTGCTAGGCTGGATGTTCAGAGGGAGGGTCCCCTGTACACATCATGCAACTGATGCTACATGGAGTAAGTGGGTCGCACTGATCACACAATGGCCTCGAATAGGAAACCCCAGTTGCCCAGGAATCCTGGAAGTGATCATGGATTGGCCAGAGGGCAAAGATTGATTGGTTGCTCAAAGTCCCATCAAACCCGACCTTGAACACCTGCAATGATGGGGCATTCACAACTTCTCAGGGCAACCTGTTCCAGTGTCTCACCACCCTCATTGCAAAAAATTTCTTCCTTATATTCAATCTAAATCTACCTTCCTTCTGTTTAAAACCATTACCTCTTGTACTGTCACTACAGGCCTTGGTAAAAAGCCTCTCTCCATCTTTCTTATAAGCCCTCCTCATAAATCGAAAGGCTGCAATAAGGTCTCCTGAGAGCCTCCTCTTCTCCAGGTTGAACATCCCAACTCTCTCAGCCTTTCTTCATAGGAGAGCTGTTCCATCCTTTTGATAATTTTTTGGCCCTCCTCTGGACCCACTCCAACAGGTCCATGTCTTTCTCGTACTGAGGACTCCAGAGCTGGGTGCAGTACTCCAGGTGGCATCTCATGAGCGCAGAGTAGAAGAAGGGGAAAATCACCTCCCTCAACCTGCTGACCACACTTCTTTTTATGCAGCCCAGGATACAATCAGCTTTCTGGACTGCAAGTGCATATTGCTGGCTCATGTCCAATTTTTCATTCACCAATACCCCGAAGTCATCCCCCAGTCCGTACTGGGGATTGCCCCAACCCAGGTGCCAGACCTTGCACTTGATCTTGTTGAAGCTCATGAAGTTCGCAGGGGCCCACTCCTCAAGCCTGCGTCCCTCTGGATGACATCCTTTCCCTCTAGTGAATCAGCTGCACCTCTCAGTTTGGTATAATCTGCAAACTTGCTGAGGGTGCACTCGATCCCTATGTTTATGTCATTGATGAAGATACTAAATAGTACTGTTCCCAGTACAGACCCTTGAGGGACAACACTTGTTACTGGTTTCCAGTTGGAGATTGAGCTGTTGACTGTAACTCTTTAGACACAGACACCCAGCCAATTCCTTATCCATATAACAGTCCATCCATCAAACCTGTATCTCTCCTATTATGTAGGTAACAACTGTCACACTCACCCCCACTGTTACTGTCATTACTAATTATTTTAAATCAAGTAACTGTCAAGTTCAGTAACCACTTAACTAGGGTAAATCCTTAACATTCCCAAATAAGAAAAAAACACAAATCCAATGCAAAACATCACCTTGACCACTTTGAAAGTCTATAAAAGCTGACAAAGATCACTGACACGCAGTTAATCCAAACACATAGAACATTGCCACAACTGCAGGACTAAAAGTCATTCTTCCCTAGCAAATAAACTTTTAATGTAAAACTAAGGAAGAGTATCTCTTCACCTGTTTGTAACCAAATTCTTCTTCTAAAAAGAGGGCGAGCTGCCACCTAAACCACTCTGTCACTTTACCTGGTTGCAATTTTGATATTTTTTTAAAAAGTGTCTCTAGGAGAGAAAGCTAAAACAACCCAATCCCCAAACAACTAACTTGCTATAATCTTAATTTATATCACATTGCAAGGCCTCTCTTCCAGCCATCAGAATCATCATTTTAGAAACTCTGATGTCCTGGTTTCAGCTGGCATAGAGTTAATTTTCTTCCTAGTAGCTGGTACAGGGCTGTGTTTTGGATTTAGGATGAGAATAATGTTGTTAACAGACTGATGTTTTAGTTGTTGCTAAGCAGTGGTTACACTGGTCAAGGACTCTTCAGCTTCCCATGCCCTGCCAGCGAGAAGCTGGGAGGGGGCACAGCCAGGACAGCTGACCCA